GTATTGCTGATGTTTTCTGTTTCCAGTTTCTTTCTTCTATATATAGTTTTTGCCCAAAACACAAAAAGGGTAAAAATAAAATGGGTTATTCAAAAAGAAGACAAATGACAATTTCATCTAATCTGATCTATTTTCGAATCTTGTCTTGCTGATCATTTTTGCTTTTTAAAGTTTCTATCTTTCTTTTATTGTTTTCGAGGTAATAGGCAAACACGCATAGATTGGTAACAAATTTCATTTAAGGGCATTGACTCTTATAAAAAGTTGACCAAAGATTTCAGCAATATCCACTTATTTTTCGATCTTGCCTAGTGGATTTTTTTTTATTATTAATTTCTATCTATCTTATTGTTTTCTAGATAATAGACAAAAGTAGCTTTTTGTCCTTATTATGTGCTATTTTATGCTGCATGTCAATCATGTTGGTTGGCAGGCGGGGTCATCGGCTGGGTTGGACAAAGTCCAAATTCGGCTTATAGTATGGTGATGTCGGGCGGATGGGCTGGCGAGCGGGGGAAAGTTTGTATCTAGTTTTCCTACAGTTTTCAACCAAGATCCATGAACTTCACAGGAAGATCGCACATACATATGTATGTTGAAGTTGTGCCCCTGCTATTATGGAATTATTTGAGGAGTTCTCATGTTTCCAGACTTGGGAACTTACTCTTTTTTCAGCAAAATTTATGAAAGAGGGTACACGTTTTGTGTAATCCACTCCACCTACAACTTTCACCCCAGATCACTGAAACATAACAGGACGATCGATGGCACATGTGTTGAAGTTGTACACCTGCTATTATGGAATTGTTTGAGGATTTTTTCTCATTTTTTCAAACTTAGTCATTTTTTCAGCAAAAGTTATAAAAGAGGGTACAAGTTTTCAACTTTTACAGTTTTCAACCAAGATCCCTAATACTTCACAGAAAGATTGTACACAGGTTGAACAAGTGCACCTGCTATTATGGATTTTTTTCCACATTCTTCCGGACTTGGGAACTTAGTTTATTTCCATAAAAGTTTACAACCTTCTTGTAACTGCAACTACATTACTATATTGCAAACCGGCCATTTGAGACTTTGGCCCATTTTTAATCTACTTAGTAGATAACTCAATGGTAATTTGTGGCCAAGTTTGGTTAAATTTTGCCCCGTAGTTTCAGAGATTTTTTTTAAAGTTATCGGACGACGACGGATGCTAAGTGATGAGAATAGCTGACTTGGCTATTTAGGCCAGGTGAGCTAAATAGTATGGGTACCTTTCATCATAAACGATATCACAAAAGTTTTGGTACTTTTTCCACTACTCGTACGCTAGTTGTAAGTCGAACAATGTTTCAATTAATACCAATATTCGGAAAGTTTTGCATTTTATACTTTAATTATATACTGATGTAAAAAGGTAAAAGATAAGAAACTGTAGAGTCCCTAAAGAGCTTATATACTTGTATATGCCCAGTAGTCTATTTCCGACGATATTATCCCTACTCAGGCAGACATAGACCGAATAATCTGTCTCTTGTGTGGCTACTTTTGTCATTTCATATTTTCTTTTTATCATTTGGCTATTTATATTTTTTTTTGTGTCCGTGTGGACACAAAATAGAAAAAAAAATTATAAATAGGTAAATGATAAAAAGAAAATATGAAATGACAAAAGCAGCCACACAAGAGACAGATTATTCGGTCTAAGGCAGACATTAAGCTGTGCTTCTGACAACATTTTTGCAAGAATTATTCGTTGCATTTCAAAATTGAAAAGAAGTTAGTTCTGGCTATGGCAAGCGCATCTTGTTTTCGTGGTACAGTGGGATTAATGAACTATCACTTACGGCGCGCCTTTTATGACATCAAATCAGTACAGATTAAAAAGCCTATGTCGTTTTTGAGAAGATTTAGCTGATTAAAAATATAAAAATTTTATTTCCCATACGGATCAAAGGAACCTATACAAATGGTTGACTTAAGTCAAGTTTAAAAATTTAAGATGCCAAAGATAACTATTTGCTTAAGAAGCAACAACTTAACTTGATCGAGTCAACAGAGCATCACCACCAGGATAACAAAATTGGAAAGGAAAGTTGTCTCCCTTGCATATAGTTGGATGCGAATACTTAATAAATTGCTTCGCCGAGCGCAGCTGGAGAGGTCCAACCCTGAACAGTTGGGGCAAAAATGGACACAATATTCGGACTTGATACAGGTCTGATTAGTTAATTTGGATTGTAATTAAATATTTGACACATAATAGGTTTCTGACACAATATAACTGTAGTCAAAGAACATAGAATTGGTTATATGATTTGAATTTATATTCAATTTTTTGCTTTTGTGCAATACACTATGCTATTGCGAATTGACCCCCCCCCCCCCAAAAAAAAAGTTCACCCCCCCCCCTTTTTAAATAGTAACTTCTACAAAATAAATTGACAGCTAATCACCTCAAGACAATACAACATTTCTTAATACATAATTTAAAAGCAGTGTAAGGGAGGTAATCCAAACATAACATTGTACTTTTTTTTAAATTGTCCATTAACCAGGAAACCCTTGTTTTTCCACCTTTTTTGCCCCTAATTCCTAAACAGTTTGAGCCATAACCCCCCAAAGCCAATCCTAACCATCCTTTTGTGGTATAATTTCAGAGAGATCCATACACCGTTCCACAATTTATTGTCTGGAAACTAAAATAAAATGCTTCGCTGAGCGCAGCCTGATATGACCGCAGAGGTCGAACCCTGAACAGTTGGGGCAAATTTGGACACAATATTCAAGCTTGATACTGTCCTAATTTGGATTGTGATCAAATTTTTGACATAATATAGGTTTCTGACACAAAATAAATGTGCTCAAAAATCTTACAAATCTATTGCGCAATACTGTGCAATTGAAGATTTCTTCTTGAAACTTTTCAAAAATTCGAAATTTGAAAAATTTTGAAAAAAAATATGAATCACTTAAACAAAATTGGAAAAAAAAATCCCCCCCAACTTTTTAGAACCCCCCCTTGGAGCAATAACCCCAAAACTCAATCCCAGCCTTTCCTTTGTAGTATGGAACCTTGAAGTACAATTTCAGAGAGGTCCATACACTTAAACACAAGTTATTTGCTTGAAACTAGAAAAATGCTTGTTTTTGGCCCCTTATTCCTACATGTTTGGGGCAATTAATCCCAAACTCAATCCCAGCCTTCCCTTTGTTATATAGATCCTTGTGTTACAATGTCAGAAAGATCCATACACTAACATACAAGTTATTGTCTGGAAACTAGAAAAATGCTTGTTTTTGGCCCTTAATTCCTACACTGTTGGCCCCATAACCCCCAAAATGAATCCCAACCTTTTACTTGTGGTATTAAACATTGTGGTACAATTTCAGAGCAATCAAAATACTTATACACAATTTATTATTCTGAAACTAGAAAAATGCTTGTTTTTGGCCCCTTAATTCCTAAACGGTTGGGACCATCATCCCCAAAATCAATCCCAACCTTCCTTTTATGCTATTGAAGTTTGAACCTTCTTAAAATATTTCATAGAGATCCATTCACTTAAACTTGAGTTATTGTCCGGAAATCAATGTGTCTTCGGACGACGACGACAACATCATACGATCCCAAAAAATTTTATGCGGTCGTATAAAAATGCTTATTTGGGCCCCTTTTTGGCCCCCAATTCCTAAACTGTTAGGACTATAACCCCCAAAATCAATCCCAACCTTCCATTTGTGGTTTTAAACCTTGTATTTAAATTTCATAGATTTCTATTTACATTTACTCAAGTTATTGTCCGGAAACCAAATGTCTTTGGAGGACGCTGACAACGACGACGTGATACCAACATACAACCGCAAAATTTTTTGCGGCCGTATAAAAAGTCCCTTTAACGAGGACAAAACATTATAACCAATATTACAAAAGAATGACGTGTTGAGGTGGTTTTAATTATCTAAGAGTGCTTGTAGTAAATCATGACAAATACAAGTTAAAATCATTAAACATCAGCAGGAATTGATTGTTCATCCATCAGGAGGATTGTTGTCTTTGTGAAGTTTAGCCATAAATTTAGATGGTCTACAAGATAGGCTAAGTTTGTCATCTCAGAACAAAGTATTTAATATATTTATCTCCAATTCAAAACTCCCAAGGGTGACTGGGGAATAGAAATATGGTCACTACAGGTCTTCTTCCGACCAGCAGAAAAACCCTTGCCAAAGTGGGGTGTTCGTTTGGCTGTGAGGGATGTATCAAGTACGCAGCCACGTCCGGTCAGAATGGGGACATTAAATCAGATGCCTCGTGTAGAGAGAGTGTCACACTCTCTGCACGTTAAGAACCCTTGCAACACCTCTTTGAGGGGTCCATAGATGGCCTGTTGCAAGGCTAAATTTCTGTCCCTATCATATATACCATATATTTTCCAGTGGCAGTCCAAATTTTCCCAACATCAACCCAGTTGACCTCTATTACCGCACCTACCTATTGTATTTATTGTTAATTTGTTCTCATCCTGAACATGCATGAAATATTTGCCACTGGATGTTAAGCAACCAACAATCCATCAATCAATCCAATTCAAAATCTAATTGCTTCATCCCCTCAAAAAACATGATTTGATGTGAAAATGAAATGTCACATTTGTGCCAGTGGTCAAGGATTTTCAATAATAAATGTATGCATTAATTATTGACTTTACAGTAACCAGTTTATCAAAGGTATAGTACTTGTTTGTAGGTGATTATTGCAAAATTTTTATTCCTATTCTACATACCCTTATATTCCTGTGGCAGTCCAATTTTCCATCCATTCACCCATGGCGACCTACCTTCTAGAACCACATAATGTATTAATTGATAATTTGTTCTCTGTCCTGCATGAGCATGAAATATTTGCCACTAGACATTAAACAAGTAACAAACAATCAATCAATCAATAATGAACTTAGTATTGAGCTCATTCTTTGATTTATGCTGTACTTTTAAGATTTTTCATGCACACAAATAACTAAAAAATGATATAGATTTATTAATGTTTCATACAAAACACATTCACAATACATTGTATTTCAACATAACAAAATAGCATAGGTACAAAATGAAACAAATGCAAGCTTTGTAATATAAATAAGAACACTGTATAACAGATTTTTTTGGACTCTGCACATTCTTACTTCTAGCAATTCAACTGAGTAGAAGGGGCAAAATGAAAATCGTTCCTAAATGGTCACATTATTCTGTCTTCCTATTGCACTACGGATCAACAATTGGCTCTTTTAGTTAATTTATTAATGAGAGATCATTGACAAATATTTTATCGTTCTTACCAGGTTCTAAGTTACAAGATTAAAATAGAAGCCAAGGGAGCATAATATTTATTGTTTATATCTTATAACAGGTAATGAACTTTCAATAATACTTTTAAATGATTACAATTGTAAAACCAAGATGGACAATTGAAGTCTGTGACCTTCTGAGCTTAAATGAATTTGTTCTTTCATAATAAAATGTACATTATAAGTAAAGAAGAAAATTTTGTTCAAATGAAAAATAAAGATGTCAGAAAAATAGCTACATTAATTATGCCTTGAACACATTTTTACCTCATAAATCACTAATTTGTTTAGAATATTTAGCACTGTCTTAGATCTTTTGTACAAACATAAGAAAATTTTTATCAATAAATAGAACAATCAAATGAATAGTTGGCTATGTCTCCTTTGCCACTAACACACCTCCTGTTGTTTTAACATCTTTTTCTTGCTTATCTTGTCCCCTTGAATCTTCTCCTTTTATTTGTAAATTATATTCTTCTCTATATTTATTTATTTCTATTCCTTTCGTCTCCAACTGTTTCGTTAAAGTTTCTACCATTTTATTTAACTGAAAAGAAATAAAAAAATAAGAGTTGAAAATAAACACTGTTCTTAAGGACATATTTAATTCACAATATACTCAATTTGCAAATATATATATGTGCCAAGTCAGGAGCCTCTGGCCTTTGTTAGTCTATTATGTTTTTTTTAATCTTAGTTTATTTATATGTTTCGGAGTTTAGTGTGACTTCCATTTTCACTGAACTAGTACACATTTTTGTTTATGGGCCAGCTGAAGCCTGGGTGCTCGATTTTCTCGCTTTGTTGAAGACCCATTGGTGGCCTTGGGCTGTTTTCTGCTCTTTGGTCGGGTTGTTGTCTCTTTGACACATTCCCCATTTCCATTCTCAATTTTATTTTTATATGTGATTCACTTTTTATTTCTTACCAAAAGTGTGATTTGTATTTGTGGTAAATATCTTTAACAAATATTTTCTCAATGTCTGCCATTCTAATATTTACATCATTTTTACCGTAATTGAAACGAGAGAAAAATTAGCTTGATTCAGTGTATATCATCAAACTAGTACCACTCTAATGTCAATTATGAACTATATTATTTATATACTCACCTGTTCTTTATGATTAGTTAATGCAGGTAATACACCTTCTACTGTATGTTCTACTAAAACTCCTCCTACCATCCTGAAACATTTTCTACTAGATTCTGTTTCTTTTAATGTATCTATTACTATTCTGAAAAAAATATAAATAAATATTAAAATTTTTCATCGAATACATTTTGATCAAATTTTTTATACTATATAGATATAAGAAGATGTGGTATGAGTGCCAATGAGACAACTCTCCATCCAAGTCAAAATTTATAAAAGTAAACCATTATAGGTCACAGTACGGTCTTCCAACACGGAGCCTTGGCTCACACCGAACAGTAAGCTATAAAGGGCCCCAAAAAATTACTAGTGTAAAACCATTCAAACGGGAAAACCTACAGTCTAATCTATATAAAAAACAAGAAACGAGAAACACTTATGAACCACATCAACAAACGACAACTACTGAAAATCAGATTCCTGACTTAGGACAGGTGCAAACAAATGCAGCGGGTTTAAACGTTTTAATGGTACCAAACCTTCACCCTTTTTCTGAAAAAATAGTGTAACATCACAACATAGAAAGACACACTATAAAATATCAACTGAAATAGCTTAACTCAATCAAAGGACATATTAACACCATTGAACATACACTGAACAAATAAATTTGACCTATGACACAATGTAAATACAAAATAAATAAACTAAGGGAAGAATAATAAAAGTAACATGTTATATATCGGTAAGAAATGTTAAACAATTAAAGAAAAACAATATGATCGAACAAAAATATCAGCCATTTGCAATAACTTTAAACGCAGGTAAATGAAAATAATTTTGTTGTTAGGTATACATGTACAGTACCAATAGAGAAACGAAATATTTTTACAAAATAAATAATTTTGATGTTCATAGTACGTAGTGAAAATTTATAGTTATACCAAACACTTATCAAAGCTGGTGTATAGACCAGATATAACCCTGATTAACATTAAATAACAAAAAAGCAATACAATTAGTATCAACAGGTCAAATAAACAAGAAAGTACGATTTGAGAGTACTCGCAGTTACTGACAGCTAGTTAAAAGCCAAAACAATTAATAATAAAAAATGCATGTAAATATACTGAGTGTCTTTTGTTCCGGCTAGCTGGAAGAATAGCTAAATATCTCTATTTTTCCGACCATCCGTTTTCGGATGCACAAATGTTCAATATCAACAGAAGTATCATGTGGCGTGGAAAGCATCCCGGATGAGGTGTCCGATTGCAAACGTGTGTATGCAATGGCCGTTTTGAGATTTTGAGATCATGATTTATCTTTAAAGTTGTCCTAAAGAAAATTAGAGAGAATGTAAAATTGAGAATGGAAATGGGGAATGTGTCAAAGAGACAACAACCCGACCATAGAGCAGACAACAACCGAAGGCCACCAATGGGTCTTCAATGCAGCGAGAAACCCCTGCACCCGGAGGCGTCCTTCAGCTGGCCCCTAAACAAATATGTATACTAGTTCAGTGATAATGGACGTCATACTAAACTCCAAATTATACACAAGAAACTAAAATTAATAAAATGCTCCGCAGGGCGCAGCTTGATACGACCGCAGAGGTCGAACCCTGAACAGTTGGGCCAAGTATGGACACAACATTCAAGCTTGATACAGCTTTGCATTTGGATTGTGATTAAATATTTGACACAGCATAGGTTTCTGACACAGAATGAATGTGGTCTAAGTACTTAAAAATTTTAAATTGGACATTCACCTATTATGGTCCAATATCCAAAATCTAAATACATGATTAGATTCAGCATATCAAAGAACCCCAAGAATTCAATTTTTGATGAAATCAAACAAAGTTTAATTTTGGACCCTTTTGACCTCAATGTGGACAAAGTTGATAACGGGGCCCAAAAATCAAAAATCTAAATACATGGTTAGATTCAGCATATCAAACAACCCCATATATTCAATTTTTGTTGAAATCAAACAAAGTTTAATTTTGGACCCCGATTTGGACCAACTTGAAAACTGGGCCCATAATAAAAAATCTAAATACATGTTTAGATTCAGCATATCAAAGAACCCTAAGAATTCAATTTTTGTTAAAATCAAACTAAGTTTAATTTTGGACCCTTTGGACCTTAATGTAGACCAATTTGAAAATGGAACCAGAAATTAAGAATCTAAATACACGGTTAGATTCGGCATATCAAAGAACCCCAATAATTCAATTTTTGATGAAATCAAACAGTGTTTAATTTTTGGACCCTTTGGACCTCAATGTGGACCAATTTAAAAACGGGGCCCAAAATCCAAAAACTAAATACACGGTTAGATTCAGCATATTATAGAACCCCAAGAATTCAAGAATAAAACCCCATTGAAATTGGTCAAGAAATAAGCAATTACCGGTATACGAAGTTCTTTTGCACAATACTGTGCAATTAAATATTTCTTGCTATTGCGCAATACTGTACAATTGACAATTTCTTGCTAATGCGCAATATTGTGCTATTGAATATTTCTTGCTATTGCGCTATACTGTGCAATTGAAAATTTCTTGCTATTGCGCAATACTGTGCAATTGAAGATTTCTTGCTATTGTGCAATACTGTGCAATTGAAAATTTCTTGCTATTGCACAATACTTACTATATAATAATTTACACATCCTGTTTGGTGTGTATCTCCTACCATATTATTATTATTTGCTTTTAAATATAAATCAGAAATAACCAACTTTAAAGGAAAATTTTAAAAGAAAAAAAAAAGGAAAAAAAGAAAAAAAAGGAAAAAAAAAAATCCCCCCCCCCCAAATTTTTTGAACCCCCTAATGATTCATCACCCCCAAACTCAATCCCAGCCTTCACTTTGTGGTATGGTACCTTGCAGTACAATTTCAGAGAGATCCATACACTTGAACACAAGTTATTGTCTGGAATTTAGAATAAACTGCTTCGCTGAGCGCAGCTGGATACGCCCGCAGAGGTCCAACCCTGAACAGTTGGGGCAAAAATGGACACAATATTCAAGCTTGATACAGGTCTGAATTTGGATTGTAATTAAATATTTGACATATTACAGGTTTCTGAATAAATGTAGTCAAAGAACTTGAAATTGTTTATATGAATTGAATTTATATTCAATTAAAGATTTCTTGCTGTTGTGCAATACACTGTGCTGTTGCGCAATACTTAGTAAATCTGTTGTCAGACTATAAACAAATAAAGTTCAATTAATTCTCAATGTCATATTAGAAATTTATGAAAATCAAAAGGGAGCTTACATCAATAGATATAAACAATTCACCAAAGTTTCATGAGAATTGCTGACAGCATTTTTGAGTTATTGTCCGAAAACTTGAAAATCCCCCCTCTTTTAATGAATAAAACCCCATAACTCAGAAATGTAAAATGTAAAATTTATAAAATTCTAAAGGGAGCTTACTTAAATAGATATAAACAATTCACCATAGTTTCATAAGAACTGCTGAAAGCATTTTTGAGTTTTTGTCAGAAAACTGGAAAATCCCCCTTTTTTATGAATAAAACCCTGTAACTCGGAAACGTAAAATCTAAAATTTATAAAAATCAAAAGGGAGCTCATGTCAATAGATATAAACAATTCACCACAATTTCTTGCAAGTTGGTGAAAGCATTCTTGAGTTATTGTCCGAAAACTGGAAAATCCCCCTTTTTTTAATGAATAAAACCCCATAACTCAGAAACGTAATATTCAAAATTTATAAAAAACGAAAGGGAGCTCACGTCAATAGATATAAACAATTCACCAAAGTTTTATGCAAATTGGTTAAAGCGTTTATGAGTTAATGTCCGACATGTTGACGACGGACGGACAGACGGACGGACGGACAGAGGTATACCATAATACGTCCCGTAAACGGGCATATAAAAATGTGTTTTTTGGGCCCTTTTTGGCCCCAAATTCCTAAACATTTAGGGCAATTACCCCCAAACTCAAACCCAGCTTTCCCTTTGTGATATGGAACCTTGTAGTACAATTTCAGAAAGATCCATACACTTACACACAAGTTATTGTCCTGAAACTAGAAAAATGCTTATTTTTGGCCCCTTATTGGCCCCCAATTCCTAAACGTTTCGGCAATTACCCCCAAACTCAATTCCAGCTTTCCTTTTGTGATATGGAACCTTGTAGTACAATTTCAGAAAGATCCATATACTTACACACAAGTTATTGTCATGAAACTAGAAAAATGCTTGTTTTTTGCCCCTTTTTTGGCCCCTAATTCCTAAAATGTTGAGGCAATTACCCCCAAAATCAATCCCAGCATTCCTTTTGTGATATGGAACCTTGTGGTACAATGTCAGAGAGATCCATACACTAACACACAAGTTATGTCTGGAAGTTACAAAAATGCTTATTTTTGGCCCCTAATTCCTTTACTGTTAGTACCATAACCCCCAAAATCAATCCCAACCTTCCTTTTGTGGTATTGAACCTTGTGGTAAAATTTCATAGAGATCCATTCACTTAAACTAAAGTTAGAGTGCGAAAACCAATGTGTCTTCGGACGACGCCGGACGACGCCAGACGACGACAACGGACGCCGACGACGACTACGCCAACGTCATACCAATATACGACCACAAAAATTTTTTTGCGGTCGTATAAAAATGATACAAGACTAACAAAGGCCAGAGGCTCCTGACTTGTGACTGCTTTTAAATAAATTTCTATAGGACATACTCCAGAACTTTAGCGTGTGCACGTAAACAGAGAGGATTACTGAGTACCAGGATTCATGAACGATGGTGTAATTTATTGAATTACTGAGTACCGTGATTCATGAACGATAGTGTAATTTATTAATTGTCTTTTCACAAATTATATCACTTGTTAAGTGTTTCTAATATTACAAAAAGTGTGAAATCAAACTGAAATTGCTGATTTACTCCATGACTCACGTATCAATGGAGGCAAAACGCATAACAACAATTCACAGGAAAACAATTAAAAAAAAATATACTTGGACGAATTATTTCTAAGTTCTACTACAACAGAGATCTATGAACATGCACTTATATATGCCTGGACTGGGAATAGAAGACCAGGGTTGGGGCAGGGCTCACACTACTTCAGAATCATAGGGAGAAGT